TTTGCTAATTCAGAAAAGTTATTATTTAAAAATTAACGGACACGACTATGCAATTTAACATTTAAATATAAATAATAATAACGTGTAAAATTTAATTTATACCAAATTACTTATTTGTACAAAGTAAGAAATATTTATTTTTTGTGGTTGGCATAGATAATTTTAAAATTGCTAAGCAGATATATGAGATTTCCTTGACCTCCTTGTAAATTAAAGTCATATAAAATAAATCGTTTTGTGCTGAAAGGATTTTAATCCGTCTCAAAATTGTTGAACGGAAGACAATTTAACAACAAGACAACCATGTAATTACTTACATTACCTACCGTTTGAATATTGTGTAAGGCGTATGTAGCCCTTTAACGCTTCTCTGCCCACGAAACATAACATAAACTTACAACATAGAAAGTTGATAAAATAAACGTATTTCTCGCAACAAGAAATAAAATTTAAATATATACGACTTGAAGCCTAACTAGAGACTTTTTAATAGAGTTGCTTTAGTTTCTCCTCGGAAACTCCATCAAACCTCTTGTCAAAGTAAGCTTTACACTGTTCACGGCTGATAGCATCCTAATGAGGTATGTGACTCTATAAATTTCTCCTTGAGGCAAGAGAGCACGGGCTTTGTGAAGTAATTTTGCCTCCTAAAGGTCCTGTGTAAATGTTTGGGATCGACATATTGACAACTTTGATCCCTTCCAAGGGAATACTTGATTGATGATGGAAATTTAACTAGACAAGAAAGAAGCGCGCAAGGCTTCTTTCTTGTCTAGTTAAATTTCATATTTCTAGATAATTATTTGTTTTAATGAATAACATGTTTAAAAAGCACTAAGCAGTAAAAATGTTACAAGTTAATGTATAAACATTAACTTGTGCCACTTTATCGATAACACGTAATGCCGTACACGCCCTATTACAATACCTTCATGTGTACGACCAACATACTTACTATAATACTTATAAATATTTTTTTTATTCCCTAATAGAAACTGCTACCGTTCCTCATGAATACTCAAAAAAATAAAAGTTTTTACAGGCCCAATAGGCATTTTACAGTTTACAATTATATTTTATTGCAAAAATTATACAGTACTCTTAAAAATTGTAAAGCGTCCGTCATGATAACGAGTAGGTATTTAATCGGCGGAATGTTTTTCATGTGAACAAAAACAGTGGAATAGTGTAAACGGTTTGCATGAGTAAAACTCGTTAATCTATTCGTTCGTTCTGTGTCTACTGTATTTAGAATTGTATCAACAATCCTAAAATTATGTTCAATTATCTTTCGACACAGTCAGACTGTAAATTGCGTATTGAGTATCTATGTAATCTGAATTGTAGAAAAATAACTTGCTCTTGACATCCCTACATTTCCCTAGATATATTTGAAGCTACAAGGCAAGTGGCGAATCTACGCAATGGCGTAATGGCGTAACCCGAATAATGTCTCGGATCTGTGTTTTGTTATCAATCCTAAGAATTCAAAATAAGTCAAAATGTAAATCGATATATATATTTGTGTCTGCTTAATTCGAATTGTATTGTAAGTAATTTGAATTGTAAGTAGAGCAAGCAACCACAGACCTCGATTAGCCAGGATACTTAAATTTTTTAAAGGCGTCTATTATATGTCTATGTTTAAACTGATTACGCCATTTAATATTATGGTAGTATAAATTAGTAGGTACACCTTACGTAACAGTAACTTTCTTATACGAGATATTTTGTTGCATTCCACTCTCATGCGGTAGGAAATTACTTACGACAGCCTACCCGTAGGAAACTTTCGCAACTATGTTTTAGTTTCAAACCACGTCTGGCGCCAGCTTGCCTCTAATCTTTGTCAGATATGTCTTTAGACGATAGACGTGAATATAATGGTTAAGTTCTGTGATGTGCTAAGTTTGTCTTCTAGAGAGTTGGTTACGTATTTACAACACTCAATTTGGTGTTTGCTTTAGAATAACTAAAATCAATAAGTATTAAATTGCCACTATACTGGGTATAAAATGATATACGTTAAATTTAGAGTGTTATATTTCTCTCTTTTCAGAATAAAGCTCAAGTCATAATCCGAGTATTTTTTTATCATTGATTCATCATACATTACTTACTGTGAGCGGTGAAAGTTCTCTATACGTTGTATCGACAGATACCTAGAAACAGAAACCGTATATTAAAAAGATGAAATGTACTGATAGAATAAACCAGTCGTCTTTATTATCTTGTAAATTGCGTTTGTAATTCCTGTTAACATTTTCATAACATATTACTGGGATGGTACGAAGTCGAGCATAAAATACCTTCATAATCATTTGTTTTATAAACTTGCCAAGAATAAGAATGGAAAGAATAACGTTTCGAATTTATTATCACATTTTACGGCTGACGAGCAAATCACGTAGATAATTCCTTGCTGCATGATTTGTAAGGACTTCGTGAGAAAAATATCTACAGCGTGTTAAATTTATCTCTTAAATTTTTGGATAGTTATTAAACAAACCAAAACATTTTTAGAAGCAATACAACACAAAATATAGCCCTTATATCAAAATTATTTTGAGATATCTGACTAGCTAAGATGCCGATGGTTTTAATTTTGTTTTATTCATCAAATATTTACTTAATGCAGCGAGGTAAAATATTCCTTAGACAAAGTTTAAAGACCCATAGACTTGATTGCTGTAATGTCGCCTCTACAGCGGTGTGGCTGCCTTGAATCATGATTATGTGCGCATTAGTCACGCCACTGGCAGCTTCCAAATTAGGGCTGATCCTGTATTTTTAGTTATTTTTGAAACCCTATATAATTTAATATTTATATTCGTTCCGTTCAGACATGTTAATATATATATGCGCATTTGACGTCATGTACCTGGAGATTCCAGATACGCCATGCAATCTATAGATATCTCATAGAACATTTACCAGCCCGTTGCATACCACAGGTTTCTCTTTATACAAAATGGATTTTACATTATTGTTTTCTATTACTGGTAATACTTATCAAGGATTCGTATATAGGTTTTATTTTAAGTTTTCCCTTTCTCGCACTAGTGTAACGTAATATTACTCTACTAGTAAACTCTTACTTAGTAGAATAAAATTATTTTCTTGCACTTTAAATGATTGAGACCTAGTGATTGTCATAATTACATCGATTCTTAGAAATCATTAAATGTTAATTTCTTCAACTCATCACAGATGCAGTTTATTTTACTTGGCTCTTAAATCTAATTCCGTCCATAAGTCAGGAATCTTGCTTATCTTGTGTTGAATTATCCGTCAGTGCAGCTACGAGCTGGGTTAATCACATTCGTTCCACCAGCGTTGGTTCATCGTGTATTCGATTGCAAGTTGAGATCACATTCGCTTCTGTGCCTCTGTTTCACGACTCAACATCCGGCATTTTATATTATATTTCTTTGAATGCGGTACAATGAACTTATAACGCTTATATTAAGCTGTAACTCTGTGTAAAGACGAATTCATTACAGGCGGGTCCTTTAAAACATTCGTTACAATCGTTTTAGTTCAATAGGCAAATTAATACCCAAAGCCCAACCTACTCGTACATACAAATATAAAAACAGCTAACTAAAAAGTTACGTGTCACATGAACTATTTTGCGTTTCACTTTATACTAATAGAGAGTACGTTCTGGCTTCATGTCGACCTTGTACCTCTTCTAGTTTAGTATTATAACGAAATATACAAAACACACGCATTCGTTAATTTAATTAACTGATTCGCTCGTCCCAAGCTAATTGCAAACGTTTGCCTATTTCGGCTTGGGATGTTACTAAATATACATTTACTATATGAGATGCACCAACGCCGATTTCAGACGAGAATATGTACACGATGTACTATAGTTATTGTTATTGTATTTTTGTATAACTCAATACAAATTATACATTTTGGACAATTGTTTTTTAAATTTTCTGTTCGTTAATAATCAATATTTATATGGATAATCTGTACAACTCATATGGTCCGTTTCCATTAATTCTGTTTTTATGTAGTTGTGAGCCACAATTGGTCACTCACTCACTACAATCTTATCGCTTGAAGATAAACACACGTTGTTTCGATCAATATTCTCTGATAACAAATTAGTAGTTGAAGGCGTTATTCGTAAACGAAATTAGTGCAACAACACGAGTGTGTAGTTCGTGACTGAACGTTAGTAATAATTTGACGTCCGCCTTCTTGATATATTGACCTTCAAATACATTCATTAGCACTCCCAGTCTTATTACAACTAAAAACTACACATTATTTTTTTATTTAGTAGTAATCATTCATTTCCGGGATTTTTTATGCACCAAAACTTAGTAATCTCGTTACAACTGCACTTAACGTTACTGTATTCGTCTGTAAAAATAAATATAAGTTCATATCACCATGTCGAATTTCAATGACAAAACTATATAATCTAGCATTATATAATTATTGGTAAATGCAATTGATGTCGTCTAGGAATTATATATTTAATAAATCGGACACAAATTCTAGAACATTGTAATTATAAAGAAAAGCGTGTCATTAAAATATTTCATTATTTTTTTTACATTTAATACGATGGGTAGGTTTATCATTCGTCTAAACATCCAAAAATATCATTTACGTTTAATTTCTAGTAGGTAGTTACTAAAAGTACTGTTGTTGACTATTCTTGTCTCTTCTTCTATGCCCTTAATAAGATGTTTAGATTCGATGAATGAAGGGTCTTTGTACGATGACTGACTGCGATACTTATCTTAATTTTTGATAACATTTTAAAATCGATTGTGTACCTATTATTATAAAAAGTTTTGTGTTACGCAATGTCTTTGTATTATAAATACATACACAACCAAAGAAACGAAACAACAATAGAATTATTTCTTGTAGCAAAAGTTGTAAGCATACCTCCATTCTACATAAGACTAGGTCCAAATATATGCATTGCCTTTTATCATTCCAACATATTTTTAATTATTATTTATCAGACGTATCTAGACAAATAAAATTATCAGTGACACAACAAGTAAGAGTGCAATGAATTCACAGGTGGACTTTACAGGAAATAGCTTAAAGTGAAACGAATGGTAGCGGCGATGCGGCGGTTTTACTACGGAGAGGCCAAGAGGCCTTAACGTGGCATGCATCCGCCATCGTGATCACTATGTCGGGTGCATTGCCGCATAGTGCCTCGCCCACCGGCGACGATCAGAGTAGACGCCGTTCTGTCTTCTATGTGCCATTATTTGAAAGTTTTGATAATTATTTACCTTTGACACCCGAAGAAAAAGAAGCCCTTATAAACGGACTAAACGTCGATACTGTATGTATAAGACCTAAAAGAAGAAATGTTTCAGATAGTGTGAGACTGCAAATTCCATCGCGCGTCGATTTATCCTTCACAGAGAGCGAGAGTGACATAAGCGTTTTTAGTCCGGAACGCCGTTTTCGACGACCTTTATCGACGACCTTGAGTTCTAATGAGGCATTAACTAAAGTAGGTCATCGTGAATTGACAAGCCCGAGACTGGTGGCAGAAAGTGGTCTCCTAAGACCAAAACCAAGACTACGAAGTACGACGTCATGTGAACGTCGATACGATAGAATATATTCTCCAATGGGTGGATCGATCTCATCTACTAAACTAAATAATTCCACGTCTCATATTGGAAATAAGGTAGACAAGACAGTATCGAAAAGTCCCTTGCAAAATTCTAATTTATCTTTAATAGCGGACTCTCCTAAACTTATTACGTCGAGTAAAGTAAAATCTAAAACACTTCCACAAAATGTCAGCATGCCATCACCTATCAGAGGTAGCAGCAGTTCCACATCTATATTCAGAACTCCTAGAATTACTGTTACTCCCGATAGTCCAAGTAAAAGTCCAGGAAAGATGTCAGGTTTGAACTTTATTCGACGCTCTAGAAGTACAAAGCTGTCCAGAAGCAATTCGTTGCTTCGTAGTATAACTACAAGGCATATTGAAGAAGGATTAGAAGACCGTATCGCAATAGTCATAGATCTGACCGATGACTACGACAAGTTCGTAGATGAAAATGGCGGTGAGACTGAAGTGATTAGTGCTCTGATAAGGAAACATGATGCTCAAGTGGCAAACAGTCCTCTGAGTATCCGACGTGGATATTTAGATGTAGACGATGATGTTGCAGTGCATTCAGGTGAGTAGTGTTATTGTTTTTATGTTTATTACGATTGTTACGAAACATAATTAAACCATTTCGAAAGGGAAATAAATTCGATATATAAGAACATTGATGGAAAATATTTTATAGTAAATAAATATGTATTAATATTATAAATACATTCATTTATAAATCGCTCGCTACATTATATATAAAAAAATATAAAGAATTACACAAATTAAGGCAACTACGGGTGTCACTAAAAGTTCTTAGGCTTACGTTTTTAAACTGTGAATGACTTAGCGGTTTGGTACAATTATTATTATTTATTTATCGGTATTGTACTATTCAGACTGCTAAACAATGTTACTAATTACGTGGATAAGATCCAAAGTTACAACGGGTATGTTTATAAAATGAATGACATCTTTTGTTACTATTATTACGAAAAGTAGAGTCATGCCTATTTCATAAGCATATTTTAGTAAACCAGTGATGACAATAAGAAACGGTTACAAGAATCTTGCCGTACGTTTATCATAGAGTGGCTGAGATTTATTGTTGCTATAATAACAGTCCTGAAGGAACAATGTAGGTTTAGCATTGTTCGTGGCACGTGCTCGTAGATACTCTATTGATAGGACAAATGAGTATATGCCGGAATGGACAATACATGGTTTCACGTAAATTACTGCTAATGCTTTGTACTCTGTTGGCTTATTCACGTTAACGTTGTATTGTCTAGAAAAGAAAACGCGAATCATAAATCATTTTTATTTAGGTACTCGAATGTTTATCAAAGTTACTTAGTTTAATTTATGTACAGAACCTTTCGTAATTAATATATGATTTTATTTAAATTGGCGAGCTTAAAATTATCTCCAATAATATAGGCAGTAAGAGTAGGCATTCATCTGCACTAAGAGACATTTGTATTCTAGTAAGTAGACCATTGTTAGTAAGTATTCGTCTTCACTAAAATACGACTTTCGCTCATTAGACACATTTAACTAAAAATGCTTGGCTATGTTTTTCAGAACGCAGATATTTCCTATGAAAGTACAAACATTCAACTACCTAAAGACTTGTGATTTTAAAAACCTCTGAGGTTATATTCGCAAAATCATTATTATTTTTTCAATATAAATAAAGTAAATGTAGATTGTTTGTTAATATAATGGTCAATGTAATAAAATATATTATGGTCAATATAATTTGACCTTAAATGTATATAAAATCCTAATTGTATATACATTTAAAGTCAAATTTTATTGTATATGTATTTACATTATGACTATCAATGTTCTAGTATCCATAGTAGCAGTTTGGCGTAGTTTAGAACTGGGAAAGCGAATGTAATATTATAAACGTAGTTCGTATTTAAGAGTTCTATGTCATTATACATACTACTGTCATTATGATATGTACGTTTATCACAGTTAAGTATTTCCTCGTAATCACGTATCAAATGAACAAAGCGATTGCAAGTTAAAACAAAAAGAAATATAAACCACAAAAGGATAACCGTTAAAAATAATTAAATACTTATTTTTGTTGAGTTTGCCGCCAATTCTATATGCCTAATGCAAGAGAATTAGTATAAAACATAAAAACTTTTTCCTTTGCACTGACGTCGATAATCAGGTTATACATAATGAGGAAAGTCTGGCATATAAGGTAAATAAAGACTTCAATTTACTATGCAAAATGGTCAATCACTGTCAGTTTTATGGGTGCCTGTTATGCCGAAAGGTCCAAGGTTAACTTTGTAGTACAAAGCGCCAGTGAAACTTTCTAATGTACAGAGCATATACTTTTACACTAGTACCTTATCTATATTAAAGCCCGTCACTTTACTGTAATTGTTTCATTATATATACAATAATTCACGTTCCTTTATACTATTAAGATGCTATTCAAGTCTATATAGACGCTTATTGATCAACGGCTATCGTTAAGTAATGGTAAACTACGATTACCTTGAATACCAGAAATGCCATAATTATTATAAGAAGGTCTCGTGGTAGATTTACTACAGGAATACCTACTTCTTTGGTTAGTTATTTTTGCTTCCCCAGTGTTGAGTCGTAAGATTTCGGGCAGTCAGTAGTTCGTAAGATATCTCACAGGATTGTTTGCTTAATTAGTGAATTATATTGTAGTGACAATTCACTTTTATTTCGAATCAGTGCAGTATGATTGATTTGATTGATTTTATTTCAAAAGCTTTTAGTTATTGCATTTCCTTGATAGATAATTTATATATTTTTTATTATTCTATTCTAGCGCCACCTTTATTGTATTATCTCCTCTACTAAAAGGTTGCCTGGAAATGATTGCGTACCTTGTTCATTTTGATTCCTATGATGTATCTCATGTATTAAAGAGTATATTATTAATATAATAAATAAAAATTGTACAGGTAACAATGTCCTGTGGTCAGATTGTAACAATTCATTCGTAATAAATTATATATACGAGTCTGTTTATGCGTAATATTTTTAGTAGTAAATTACTAACTAAATTTAAATTAAATGGCTCATGAAAATAATGTTTGAAGTAATATAAGTAGATATTTATATTTGAACAGAAAACGTAGTTCATGTTTTGCCATACTGCAACATTAAATGTACCTGAGCTTGAAGCACACATGTTGCGTTCGCACGTAGCCATGGTTCGTTGACATCGATTATTCTACCCCCTGACTACACGGTTTTATAGCAATTTGCTACAAATAAAGGACTGTTATATTACTTGTAGTTATAAACAATTATATAGGTACTTACTAAAATTTTCTTTCTCCATCAATCACATATTGACCTGTGGTATAATATGGAAGAATCAAGGCGTAGTGTAATTCTAAAAACCTATAATTTTTATCAAAATCTATGCATGCATTTATTTGCCTTAACCAAATAAATAGAAAGACTAATCGATTGAAGTAATTTATTAATACAAATCAATACATTTAATTTTTTTACTTTTTTACTTTTGGACTATTTATTTAATGACAATCCAATTAATTTTATGTTATTATAGTTAGTAGAGTATTTCTTATCTGTAATATTATTAATCCATTACTCTATGTTTTTATTTATCACTGGTTGAATAAAATGCGTCCTGTCAAAACTTCGTGTACACTTATATATAACCGAGTTCGAAGAAGTTCTTGATTCAGAAAATGTGACTAACTTACTGGCATTTAACCAAAACTTTTATTTTGTAGTGATTAACTAAGATATATATATATTTTAAGGTTAGAGATATCTAACATAAAATTTGAAAATTTGCAAAATTGGTTCGATTATCGAAACGTACATTTCGTCATGTAGCACGTGTATGCGCAAACGCAGCGGTCATGGGCGGCGTGCGGTCGACTTCCGCCGGAAACCACGCCATACAAGTACACGTATAGTCGGCTACTGCTGGTTTTGATATATCTACCGAGATACGCATAGATATAAGTATTTGAACACTTGTATTGAAAATCATTTGAACGAAATATAGCTCTTCCACTCACAGATAGACACAGAATCATTACAAAAACTTTGTGTGACATTAACACACCAAAAAAATTGTTTAGTTAAGAAAACCTCTTGTATTTAATAGTAGATGCAAAGTAATATCACAAGAAGTATGTCCGATAATTCAGAAGGTTCAGTTTCGCTGACACAATTTTAGCCACAGCACTATTTGTTTATATTTTAAAAGAGACAAGAATCTTATAATTTTGTCATGTCTGTCTATTAATATGTAACAGTATCGATTTTTATACAACTGTTAATTTTTAGAGCTGATTTCAAAAATAAATATTTATATAATATTTCACTTATTTATATATATTATAAGATATTTGTCGTTTCACTCTGAAAATATAGAAAGCAAATGATTTATAATGCTGTCAGCAATAAAAAATACTGTATATATTATATTTAGAGAATCTCTCTAATAAATATGAATGTCAAATTATAGAGGCGGCTGAGTAGAGTACAAATCTAATGTAATTTACTTGTTGAGTATTAGTGAGTATATTGTAACAAGTTATTTTTTCTAGCCATATTGCTGATCCTCATAGACTTATCTTAGTTTTAAGATATGCAATTGTAAGTCAGAGTACTGTTAAAAGTAGATTCTGTACTTTTACCAATCTAAACTAACCCTTTGGCATCTCTTCACATTCTAATCATAAAAATATTTAAAAAGTTAATATTATAGTTTAGCTATACATAACAAATAAATTGAGTAGTAATAAATAATGATTACTTTTTACATCATATATCTGCTTAACTACCAGGCAATATGGAATGGGTGTATATAGAAATAATATAAAATAATTATAATTTCTAATACTGCGACCTCAACTTTGTATTCAACTTACTCACATTTCGCAGTGCATATATTTGAATCTTGTGGTATTTATTGCACAATGAATCTAATACGTGTTTAAAATAAACTAACTCATAATAAAGCTAAGAATCACAAATCTTTGAATACGTCGATAGTGTCTTGTTTATAGTGGAATTCGCGTATTAGTATTACTAATATAAATGTACCTACTCGTAATATGAAACAGAATATTACCAACGCTGCAGTTTCAATCGTGACAATATTATAACAAGGTTCCTCATGAATCAATGTCAATTGAGTTCTTCTACAGACGGACATGAAGAAAGACTTGTTTTACACGTTCATAAATTGCTTGGGTAATAGTGATAAACATTATACACGTTGTTATTAAATGTGCGAATTTTAATGATCTTAGTACCGGAATTTACTTTTAGTGTAATTAACAATGAAAACTTGTTTTAGAGTACTTTTAGTTTTTTTTTGATTCGCCTGATTTTAAGCATTTCCGCCGCTAAAGAGCAATACCTGTTTTTATTTAATACCAATTTAATACGGACGCCTCTCACATAAAAGAGTATTCATGAGTCAACCTGAGCAGTATTGTATAATCCATGGTATTCAGTGATGTTTTATGTATAAATATAGGGCTGTACATATCGAATTCCATCAGGCAGTCCATAGCTATTTGCCATTCTCAGTGGCATAAAATAAAATAACAATGTGGTCAGTAATTTTATCGTTTGTGACGTCTGTGTTCTTTATTATGAGAATTCTAATAATATTATGTGTAAGCGTATGCCACAGAGCAGAGCTATAATATTACTGTTGTGTACTATTCAATAATCAAACCAAACTACGCACTTAAATCATAAGATTTAACTTACTGAAGTTGACTCCAATAATAATTAAATTGTATCTTACTGTTCATATAAGACCTTGTATATTAACTACTGGATTAAGTACTTAATATATAAAGGTCTTATACTTACTGGAGTAAGTACTTTGATATTTATCTATCCAATTTTCTTTCCAGACACATCATACGAGAAAGCATGCCGCCGCGGGTCAGCTCCCAGCACACCGGTGCCGGGGGCGCAGGCACAGCACAGTCCCTCCCGGCTGGCATCTTTCTTTTTTTCCAAGAGATCCTTCAGAAGCAACAATCCTCTCAAGAGAACAAAATCAGCTACAAAATTGGAAAGAGAGCGCGCGGGCGTACTAGCTACTGTGCCTACCCACCCACCGTCTCATGCATTGCGAACTTCAAGGTATGTTATAATACGTAAAGGAAATATTGTAATAAGTAAATAAGAAAGATTCTGCAATCATATATGAGTAACTGTCAAATGCTCTAAATGCGTCAAAATTAAGGGTATTTGAGAAATAGACGGGAATTAACCATATTTTAAAAGATTGCTGAGCCTTTTAACACATCCAAAAATGTTCTATGTTAAACTTTTTATTATTTATTATGTATAGGGTATTAAGAGAGATGTTGTGTAACCAATATTGTATTGGGTAAAATATTAGTCACCAATATATTTAAATTTTTTCGGTTTATATTGAAGATTTTTGTGAAATAATACTCATTTAGATTCATTACTTTCTATGATGATACAGAAAACCCATTATTATTATTTTTTTTATTCCAACACTAAAAAATCTGCTATACTGATTTTTCACTGTGGCGATTACATGCTTTTAACAAATCTCGTTTTCATTATAATCTTTATTAAAAATAAAATGCTTTGATTGAAATTGGAAAACTAAAGTAATAAATAGCATATTCGTTGTAGTTGATTAGAGGTTGTATAAATAGATGCAAAGTATAACATCAATTTGACTGACATTTAACTTTCTCTTGCAGTACAATGATTAAGCAGATCTTATTTAACGCTCATAGAATTTCTAACACTCGTGACCAAATGTTACTCCATACAGTTACCAATCTATGTATTAAATAATATTAAATTGTGTTGTTACGACTATATTTATATTATTTTCTATTTGATTAGATAATGCTGACTATTATATTGAATGTGGCATTATAACTGCTCATATAATCATGTTCACACAGATAAAAAAATGACGGTATCTAATGAACCGTATCCTTTCCGATTCCGTTAAAAAAAATCTATAGCACTCCAGAGATATTTTCTATTTCAATTTTCGGTTTTCGCACTTATTTTATGAACAGAAAATAATAACTAGACATATTTGATTTTCAATTTATTGCCATTCAAGTTTTTGATTCTGTGTAAATAAAAACAGCTTACAGCGAGTAAGTAATTTGTGTAATGGGCCCATAAAACATTCCCTTTTACGATAAGCTATGTGTGTACAGGACAAGAGCAGACAGTGTAAATTAAAGGCTAATAGGCGAAGCTTCATTAGCATTACGCTAGCTAACAAGTAACAAGGAGATAGGTACTTACTGCAGAATCGACAAGACAGCGTGTATGTATGTATATTGTACCATTTTGAAATTATTTGAAGTGGTATTTAACTTATTTAAGTTTACAGTTATTTTTAAAATGAAATGCAAGACCATAGAACTAATTATTAAAATTTTCGTATAATCTATCGACACAGTTTATATGTATATATTCGTATATTATAACTGTGTTATTTTTCTAATCATCTTTCATGTATATAAATTTGTTATTACATTTTTGCAACATTGGCATTGAATAGATTTTTGTTCTCTTCTTTTGAAATCTTCCGTAATGCTCAGAAAATATAATTAATTGCTTTAAAATAGCAGAAATAGTAATCATGCATATAATTGAAGTTATTAAAAAGATCTACAGTTATATTAATAGAAATTATAATATGGAAATTTGCAATTGAACAGGTGCCTTAATGGAGGCAAATATTAATACCTAACTATTATTGAAATGCAAATATTTTTTCAATTTCAGTATGTTTATACGTATATACGAGTACATCGTCTGAAACAGGTTTTCTTAGTAAACGTCATAATAATATATTGGACGTAATATAGTAGAGTACTATTTAATGGGTGTAGCGTATAGGTCTGGGCATCCGTTGAGAATCATAAACCACTGCAACATTTGTATCACATAAAAGGAAAATACTGAAATAGAATATTTTCCGGTATATGTTGCCATGCAACAAGTTCTGCAAACGTGTATTTAGCGACATGTCGTGACTTTACAGCGTTATGCAGTGCCTGGAGGAGTGTCGCCCCTCCCAGTCTGGTGCTGTTATTTAACGAATGCCTTTTAATTACTTCCCCAATGCAGACACGAAGCATTATTGTTAATGTCTATATTAATGTAAGGCTGAATAATAAATTTGTGACTTTCACAGTCGTAAAATAATACAACACCGTCATCAATAAAAAGCTATAACCTCATTTTAGGATAAATAACGGTCAAGTATTATCAATGTTAAAGTTCGTATAAATTTGAATATTTAATAATTTAAAAGCATAATTATAAGAAATTATTATTTATTTGTTGAAGTTTTACTAAATTGTCTTGGTCAATTATTATATTATTCACTTTTAATGTAATACAACCAGCATTGGTTATCATCGCCATTTTGTATTGTCAACATGCAGGTAAATTACAAAGTTAGGATTTCTATTAGGGTAATAACTAGCTATTGGCGCGGCTACAAGTATAATTAAACTATCTTTACAATATTTCGTCATAACATGAAATAATCATTTATTTGGTAGTCTATATCATCAAGTAATCCATAGTTAGTTATTTAATCAAGAAAGCCATATGGTGCGTGTAATTCGTAAAATACAGTTTAATTATGAAATGGTTGTCTCTTTACGAAGTAATCAGTTCTATGATTTTGTATCCTGTAATTATTAATCCCACTTGCTTTAACCATATTATAGGTATCTGGACTAGTTCATCGTTAATTCCATTATACAAACTGACAGACACATATAGACATAGACGTTTAGTTTTTCTTTACATTAAATAGATTTGTTGTAAGTATATTGACTTAGCCGAAAATTTAGTACTTTTCCTCATTCGTTTACACGTGTATAGTAGGGATTATTGAATTTTCTACAACGGATGCCCGTGGGAACCGTATACTGCGATTTATTTATCGACGGCTCTCTTCATTGTTGCAGATCTCATGAAAGCCTTTTATCGGCTCATTCACCTGCCGTCTCTACTATGGATTTGGGGCCGCCTAATCAAGTAAGTAATAACAAATAAGTTTTACATTGTTTAGTTAGGTAATGTTTTAACTGCTTTAAATAAGTAAATATGTATGGAGTCAATATGATGGAATTTTTATAGGACAATGGTGGCAAACAAGCATACGGCCCATCTGTTAGTAAACGGTTACCGTAACCTACTAGGACTAGCCTAGGAGGCCTGAAACCTAGCGTGGTCAAGTGCGTGTAGCCAACCATTAAAATAGTTAATTATGATATATTGTTTGTTAGGTTTATAATAAATATGTTAACCAGTGATTTTAGGTTATTCATTTATGTTATTAAGTATTTATTGGGCATTTTCTTTTTTGTATTATGAAAGTTGGTCACTTTCTATCATTTTGTCATATATTTTATGACATAAGTAGTTCTATAGTCAATGCTTGTTTTTCAATTACAGGTGGAGATCCGTGCCCTCCATTCTTCAGTTCTGGGCAGGCCGCACTGTTTCGCTCTAAGTGCTGAAAACAGGCCTCCGAGATACTTTGCATGTGCCTCACGGAAAGAGCGCGACCGCTGGATATACAGGTTCGAATATTGTAATTTATACCTAAAACAGATATATAAAAAAATTGTTTAGAAAAGTGAACGCAATTTTCTTGTGTCAAGTATAAATATTTGTTAAATAAAAATAATTTAATAAATTAAGAGCGTCACGGTCTAGAAGTTTTTTTTATAAAATGGTGTAAATTCTAATTTAGCCTGTACTGATTATGACGGCCACGTTTGCGTAGCGGTTTAGACACCACCTTACTTTTGGTCGCGGGTTCGGTTCCTCACAGTACAAACATTTGTATTCATGTGTATGATTACTTGTATAGGTCTTTCCTATGTGTATTATATATTTATGTATATATTTATAAAATAAATTTATTTATATCAACTGTCTAGTACCCATAACACAAGCTCTGCTTAGCTTGGGACTAGATAGCGCTGTGTGAATTGTCCTGCGTTATTATTAATATCAAAATAAATTGTAATTTTGATTGATACTCTGGTAATTGAAGAAGCGCTATCAGATGATGAAATATTTTCTTTGAAAGTAAATATTAAGTTTGATTAGAAAGCAAGAACATTATAGAAAAAACCGCAACTATTGTTGTGGTTAAATCGTATTCATACTTTCAAAATGTATGCCTATACCTACATATATATGGCAGGAAATAAATGTGTATCAAATTGTTTGCTTTTAACTTATGCTAATATAGTTATGATTAATATTAATTAATTTCCTTATTGTTTCCATGAAATCTAAAAGAATATTCATTTACTGAACTGTTTTATTTAAACGTAACACTTCATTAGTAAACAAAACGATGACTGTATTTCATGAAAATGTGTTAGTAAATATTCCATACATGTAGGTCATTTCCAATGTATCTCTAGACCTGTGCTGTGGAAAACCCTTGTAAACATGGAATATGTATATTGCATATATATTAGCACATAGCATGTCTCACCCACTTACAGGTCATATTTAGTAAAAGACAATTGTTCCCGATACCTAAGGGAACAGTAATTTGCTATGTATTTTTATTTTATATATTTATTTCAGGCTACTAGGCCCATAGATACCTTATAGACCAACATACATATGAATTAATAAATATTAAAATTGATTCTGTGGTCATGGTACTGATGACGTAGGCAACATGTTAATGGGGAGCTGGCCCACTTGCTATTTTTTCTGTATAAGACACTTTTCATGCACTATAATCATTATCGAGATAATCTGCATGTATAAGTCTAATATAGTAAATCAGTAGAGGTTACATTCGTGTACAAAATTATTTTTTTTATGCAAACTCGGTCGACACCTATTCGCGTGAGCAAGTGGCGTGATTTTTATCGAAACAAAAGCATAACGACTCTTTCTCATTGAAATATTAAATAATGCAAGAAATTATAAGTAGGTAATAAAATGATTTATATTTAAAGAAAAACAGTGAAAATGAGCGGAATTATAATCATAGGATATAAGTCACCGCAGTAATACCTACATTAAATTGTTACTGTCCATGCCACGTGATGTTTATTAATCAATGTTTGGCACTATTTTTTTATGTATCTGGAATTATAAACAGGTTGAGGCTTATAAGTGGAAAGCATTGCTTATATACATGAACAGCGGACTGAATCACAGTTATCACGTTATTATGAGTAGACTGTGATAACACTTATTATGCGTTTCCATTTCTGAGGATTAAGAAGTAATGCCTCCGTGTAATTTCAGTTCCTTATCGCCCTATAACTAAAACATACCTTCTTAAGCAAACTAATTACCGGTTGTAATACCTAAAACAAAGTTTACCCCAGTAAAAATATCTTCTTATTTAATATACGCCACAGACATTGACTTTTTAAGAACGAATATATATTTTTATTCTTACTCCAGCTTGCGGCAAGCGGCGCGGCCTGAAGAAATGCGCACGCGCCGGTGCGAGCGGACTGTGAAGTTATGGCTGCTAGAAGCTAAAGACATACCACTCAAGAAGCGGTACTACTGCGAAATATTACTCGACGATACACTCTATGCGAGGTAAGACCACATTTGAACATAATAATAATAATAATTAAAATAAATACAAATGAAGTTTGTAGAAAACTTACTGTTATTATATTTTAGTTAATTATAATATTATTGCATAGTTATTTTGGTATGGTTTAAGGTAAACAAACCGTATTTTACCTTGATGTACTTGATGTACTTGATGTACTTATTTTTAATATTGTTTGTGTATTGTTGATGTATTTCATTTTTAAATTATATGTGTTTTATTTTTAATACTGATTTACTTTATGAAAATATAAGGAAAACATAATAAACTTATTAGCAAATAAAATTATTGTTGTAGTTAGTAGGTATGCTTTAGATGACCAAGGTAATGCTGTGTAATTATTATTTTTTAATTCTCATTTTGTATTCTAAATCAAGCTGATAACAAACCTGATGGAAAGTGGTATCCGTCGCCTTGCATCATTACAAAATACGTTAAGATTTCCTTGATAACATTATGAATTGCCATTCCTGAAGACTATATCCTCGTGCCTCCTTAGCACTGCTATATGACAGCACATCTTGCAAAGCAAGGTCCTTAACACATCATTTATTTAAGTACATAATTCTACTGCTTAATATATCTATAACTTTCATGTTGCAGATCATCATCGAAGTTGAAAACGGATTTATGCTTCTGGGGTGAGGTGTATGAATTCAGCGCGCTGCCGACGGTTCGTGCTATTAATGTCAACGTGTACAGAGAGCCGGAGAGACGCGCGCGCAAGCGGGATAAACACGCCCTAGTTGGTCAGTACTCAACAAGTTAAAAACTCATATACCAACCTAAAAATCACGACATTTTACGAGTACAAGTTTTATTCTATCGCACTTCTTCAAACTAAACAAAACTTTTTTGCTAACATTTGACGTACATAAGCATCTAAAATATCCTACATGAATAACAGATTTTTTATTTGACTTAATTTGTTATAGACAAATTGAAGCTCTAGTAGAAAGCAAGTAAATAATTTCTTTATTGATAGGAAGTCCCTTCAAAATTTTACTGCTATTTCTCGTAGAATACCAGAATACTATAGTTCAAGTCAGCTTTTCAAATTTTAGTTCATAGTTCAAAAATTAGCCAAGGTATTCTGTCTATTTTTAACATATAAGGAACCGTCATCAACCGGAACTACGATCTTAATTTATACATATATATTGATTAAGTAAAATACAGTTTAAGTAAATATAGTTTATTAGTCACTGCTAGATGAATAAACGAACTATTAGTTTGGCATTACAAAATTCACGTTTGTCATTGACATTACTAATGTTAGCACAACTGGTTTTGCTATTTGGCACCTCTTAATTAATTGCAAATAAAATCACAATGATTTTATATATTCTATAATAATGACATCATATCACTGCGTTTCGCATTTTGCTTTTAATATTGTCGTCAAACTAAATGCAATATCCAAACATTTTTATATAATATCTAATAAGTAATTTTAATATATTCAAATGAAATTTATACACAAATAAGCCGTATTCTAAATTAATATATAATACAGCGCTTTATTTTTCTTAACATGTCTTGTTTAAGCTATAAAGACATTGCCATTCCGTATCCTGTAATTTAACTGCGAAATTTACAATGACGATATATTGTAACTCAAAAAGGGCAGACGCATTAGGTGCTAACAGCTTGTTACTTATCTAGATGTAATACACATGAAACAAGCATTTTCTACCCCTTTTTACGAAAATTGCGGGACAGAGTATTATAAAATTTCGCATACTTATAGTTTGTATAGAGAACGAGTGCAGATTGCTAATATTTTTATTAAATAATGCGTAAAATACATTAAATTAATAATAAAAACATTACACATATTACCATGTATTTGACACACACACGCGCAAATATAACTCTTTTGTCTATTGTTAAAGTCTGTGGTCAAATTGAGAATAGATTAATAATGTTTGTCATTTGTATTATTTGTCTATAGTCTTACTGAATATAAGGTTAATGATGGTCTACTGGGAGACTAATAGCTAATGTCTATTTAACAGGAACTGTGCGTATCCCGGTCGACGACGTATCGTCCCGATACTTCAACGAGCGGTGGTACCCGCTGAGCGATGGCGAGAAACCGCAATCTCCTGGCGGCCGAACGCCGGCGCCGCTGCGGCCCGCGCTCCGCATCAAGTGCCTCTACCAGAGCGTGGACGTTCTCCCGCTCGACCACTATGCGAGGTTCCTCGACTACCTCAAGAGGAATTACAGAAAGCTCTGCGAGTATCTCGAACCGGTTATTGGTAAGTAAGGAGTGTGATTATAATGTTTACGTTTGTTATACTGTTCATCGGAATGTTGTTGAATGTGTGCTGGGAATGAATAAGAAATTTACTTTATAAATACATATATAATGGAACAATAATACGTATACAAATCTATAAATGTGTACACAGTGTATTCAAAGGCGTAACTAACCAATCTGGAAAATAGTTAGAACTAATGGTGAATAAACGGTTTAACAGTAGATACTGTTCATATTAGATCATGTTTTCGAAAAGGGCACTGCTTGAAATACTTCGACGCTCTATATATATAATTATTTCTCTATGCCGTAACCCATGACAGAGATATTTATGAACTTTACCGCAATACTTTTTCCATACTACTGAAAAATTTAAACTTTATTTTCAACTTTAAAAACCGATATATGTATTTGTTTGGGGCAGGTGTAAAAGCGAAGGAAGACATCGGTTGTGCGTTAGTCCTGTGCATGGCTGGCGCTGGGTTGGCGCCGCGGTATCTGGCCGACGTGGTCGCGCTCGACGTGCGCCGCACCGGCGACCACTCGCTCACTTTCCGCGGGAACTCCCTCGCTACCAAGAGTATGGAGGCCTACTTGAAGCTCGTCGGCGACCAGTACCTGCAGGTATGTCAATTGTACAACACGAACAATCCATTGCATGTACCATCTGGGCTCTCTGAATACCATCTATTGTGTGTTCACTCATTCGCGCGAGATTGCGTGCGAAAAAGTGAACACACAACAGTGAACTTTAAGCTATCTACATACGTTAAATGTGTATAAATTTACAATAACTCTATAATTATGTCTTTGCTCATAGTCAATGGTCTGCCATTTTGCAATGATAATTAAGTATTACAAAAAGGTACTAAAGCACGCACGATTGAAGGACGCGCGAATGCACTAGGTAGGACGATACGCGCGATCTTTCTCTTTGAGTACATTTACTATCTTATTATTTCCTCTGTGAAAGCCGATTCCCTCATGAAAGAGCGTTCGTGTAAAGACAGCTTATGAATAATGTGTGCTTGCGCAGGAGACATTGGGCGAGGCGGTGGCAGCAGCGGCGGGTCCGGGCGCGGAGTGCGAGGTGGACCCATTGCGTGCGGGCAGTGGCGCCGCGCTGCGAAGACAACAGGCCGCACTACGCGACGCCGTCACGCTCGCCTGGCGCTGCATCGCACGCTCCGCTCCTGCATTCCCCCCGCCGCTCAGGGACTGCTTCGCGACCTTCCGGGAAAGGTAAAGCCCCATTGCATCACCGACCTTGTTACTGCTCTCACTCACACACGACTCCTACGATTCATACAGCACAATAACCGAGCTTGTTACTGCCACTTACTCACCAATTGTACATCAAAATATATTTTTTATATTTTTTAATCGTTTTTAAAGTGTTAGAATAGTGTATGAAGAATACATACACTATTCTAACACTTTCTACACTGTGTTTATTATTTCATGATCTGAGCCTAAGGATTTGTGTTTCGGGTAAACAGCCGCAACACTCGTGGCACTGCCGTCACTCACACACTATTCCCATGAATCATACAGCACAATATGATTTTTATATTTTTGTAATCAGTAACAATTTACACGTTCTTATGATTTTTTATTCTCAACCTAAGTGTATGTTACGGATACTAAAAAACTAATAAAAGTGCAAAAATTAATATAAAAGGTATGTAACCTTTTATATTAATTTTTGCACTAATTAACCCCTTATATGCAACAAATTTGGGTAAATACTTGATAAAAGATTAGATAATTTAATAAATAGTCATTAAAACAAATATACTTTTATTTTATATTCTGACATTATAATGATTAGTACATAAGTATATCGTTTCCAACAATTTTTTACTATTCAAAAATTGACACTGAGATCGCTAAAGGTAGTTGTGTCTGTTTTTCAGGTTAATGTCAATGGGACGAGAGGATATTTCGGACAACTTGATTAGTGCCTCTATATTCCTGCGCTTTCTCTGTCCAGCCATTTTATCTCCTAGTCTCTTTGGAATCACACACGGTAAGATTATACTATAGCATCATTGTGCAATTACATTTTTTTACAAGACAGTAATTTAAATAATTCAATCTTCTAAACAAGCATATTACATTTGCAAGAAAAAAAATTGTTAATAATATCAATTTAAATAAATACTAGCATATTCAGTCACTATAGGCCAACCCTAGAGGCAGCCAAGAGGGTATGGAACACGGGAAAAATCATGTAGGAGCAAATATTTATTTAAATTGATATTATAATTTTATTTTATTTGTAATGTATAAACTCTTAAAATATTAATAATAATAATAATAATCTCAGGGCAATTCACACAGCGTCATCTAGACCCAAGTTAAGCTAGCTAAAGCTTGTGTTATGGGTACTATATAACTGATACATATACATAGATATTTTTTTTGTCAATACATAAATATTATACATAGAAACCACCCAGACCGATACAAACAATCATACTCATGAATACAAATATTTTTATTCGTGCCGTGCGTGACAGGAATATGCCTTTTTTCAGTAGGCATGAAATTTTATTAATAAACCTAATAATTACATATATTAATATTTACATTATAACAATTAGATTAATATTACATATTTAAATTTAAAGATTAATACCATTATTACAATTATTATTACTTTATTATTATTTATAATATTTATAATTGAAATAATCGTGACTTAAAAATTATGCGAATTCTATTAGATCTGCGGGTAAAGTGTTATATATTTTGTGTGCCATGTAAAATACATTTTTTTGAAATAGGGTTAAGTTACTTTTGGGCAACACTAACTTAATTTTTCTGAGGATCGTCAATATATATATTTTACCTATTTTGAAAATATCATCTATAGATTATAAAATAACGTGGACTGTAAAAAAATATATAATAAATGCTTTATATGAAAAAGGTAAAAATCTCGATAACAATAAATGCATCGATGGGATTTTGAAGCGGGTCCAATAATTTGTGACTTAAATTGCCAACCATCACCAATACAGAATTGTCTAAGAATTCGTCTTAAAAATATATAATATATAAAATAAATAAATCATAATCAGTTACTCTTATTATCATATTACTTACAACTTTGTCTTATAGTTTTATAATAGCCTATGTCTCTTGAGATCTAGTATAATAGTTTTTGAGTTTTAAATATAGCTGTAGTAATACAACAATATATATAACCCTGTATTGTATTTACAGAATACCCGAACGAGCGTGCCGCACGTAATTTAACTCTGGTCGCAAAGACATTGCAGACCCTGGCTAATTTCACGCGCTTCCAAGGCAAAGAGGCATTTATGGAATTCCTCAACGACTTCCTCGAACAGGAGGCGCCGAACATGAAAGCCTTTCTCAGAGCTATATCGGTATATATATATTTATTATATAATACGTGTATGTTTTCGTTACGCTCGGTCTTTAGTAACAATTTAATTTGTCTAGATAAAATTTGTTTTTAGACTCAATAGTTATCACGTCCTTAACTGAGTTTGTTTGACATTCCAAGTTGTATAATTATTTTATATATGAAAATGCTTGTTCTAACAATTCTGCATAATATACACAGCGCTATCTGGTCCCAAACTAAGCAGAGCTTGTGTTGCGGTTATGTACTAGATACAACTGACACTTAAATACTTTTTTTCTGTTAATACATACATAATATACGTAGAAAGCACTCAGACCAATACAAACAAGAATTTACCAATAGAAACGCGTAAATACATGTGTTTGCACCGTGCGAGAATCGAATCAGTGACAATCGAGGCCGTCGTATCGTGCCGTATTAGAAACATCATACATGCCATAGGAATAAACACCATTTCTGTTTAAAGGCGTATTTAGTAAACAATATTTGAGTACCTTTCTAACTATTAATAAATAAGAAAGAGTTGTTGGTAAATAAAAATAATTTCTTTGTTACACTTATTCTCAGAACAATGTCCAACTACAATTAAAAATAATTTGCAGACACGTCCACAAGATCAGCAGCATTTACAACAACAACAGCAACATCATCAGGACGGTAGCAACCGCAACTCTGCAGCATCTCAGGGTTCCGCAGCCGGCTCTGAGGGCTCTAGGGGTGAAATTATATCGGTGGAGGCAGACCCCGAGTGGGCTCCCCATGTGGATCTGGGGAAACAACTGGCTACATTACATGGACTCCTAGTAGATAGTCTGCCGAAGTTACCAGCGAATAAGATACAGGTAAAAAAATAATTAAATTGTACGCAAAAAATTATAACATATGCTAAAATCATATGAAGCTGAATATGAACGATTTTAGATCATTAATTTTAGAATTCTTTCTAAATATTTTAGACTCAATAACGGTCGAAATTTGATCGCCACTGAAGAAGGTCGTAGCGCGGGTTTGGTTTCCACACCGAATATCATAGTCTCACACATGTTAATTGTAGCGGAATTAAAGAAAATAATATAAATCCATCGAGTAGTTATTAATATTAACTATTAATTTCTTTATATATTTGGATGTACGTCTCATTTATTTTTAATGATGTGATTGAAAAAATATACTATTTCAAAAGTATAAACGACTGTATTTTTTAGGAGTTGGAGCCATTATATGATATATTAGACGAACTGACTAAGAGATTAGTGAGCAACGACAATGGACCTATTTCACAAACAACTGACAACATCTTTAGGTAAGAGCAAAATCATGTCATGTTATGTAAACAAGGCTTGAACTTACATATATAATTATATTCATACGTATTCGTGATATAAAAAATACGTATGTGTAAGTTTTTTTTAAAATCTATATTAATTTAAATGTTCTTTATTTTAGATTCAATGATCCAACATGTAGTACACCAACAAAACTTATTAACACTAATAATCCAGAAATTACAACCAACGGCCAAATGAATAGCAACTTTGCTCATAGTTCGCCTATTATGAACAAAAATGGTGTCCAGTTCAACATCAGTCCATCTAAGTCTAACGCCGAGGAATCTAAATTTAAAAGTTCTTTTGTAACCGTTGCCAAATCACCCAGTTTCAATTTACGCTCAGCTACGCTACCGAGAAATGGATATGGCTCAAGCCCAGTCAATCAAAATTCAAATCCTGATCGGTACAGTTCACAATACAACAGTCAGGAGCACTGCGTCAATCCAAAGGTATTGCAAATTGGTTTTGGCTCCGATCAATATCCAAAAGGAATTAATAACGGTGTAAATGAGAGTCTGGAGAGGAGATTTCAGGAGAGATACAAGCCTAATAACTATAATCAAGCGCAGTACCACAACTCTAATTATAATAACACCGAACGATCTCCCAGCAGTGACAGTATTAACCACAACTATTCAGTCAAAGATATGCAAAATATTATTAAAGACACCGCAACGTTAGAAGAGTTATCCGATCTCTTAAAATATGCTGATGATTCAGACATAGTTGACGATAAACTCGCGATGAACAAGAAAAACTTAGCGCAGTCAAAATCTAATAACAATAACATTATCAACGGAAACAAAACAAACTATACCAATAATGGTTCAAACGTTTCTATAAGCGGTTTGTCTAATGTAGCGAGCTCCGGGTATCAAAGCATCGCTACATATAGCCAAAGTTCTAGTCCCATTGAAAATACTACACATCACCATCAGCCATATGAGAACGGCGGCCAACCCATGAGTCGCTACTCGCAGCTAAATTACCAAAAACAGAGAGACAAACAGTATTATGATAATAAAAACGATAAATTTTATCCAAAGAGTCCAGTACAACAGAAGATTGAATATGATATTCAGAAATATGGTATTCAAAACTTTACTACAGCTGACAATACACAAGCAAATACAAACGTAAGTTCAAAAATAGCACCTTTGGTATTCACTAATCCAGTTTATAATATGGAAGACAATCGTCAGTCTCAAGATAAAAAGAGACACAATGAAAACAGAAATTCAAAACGTTGTCCATGCGGCTCATCCAGTTCATCAATAGATGAGGAGGGTTTGAGTACAGACAATGTAGAAACAAATTCCGAAGAAGGTTCTACCAACTTCAATGAAGACCAACAGAACCGCAACAATACCCACCGAAAACTCACTAGAGATAATTGTAATTATGAAGATATGTATCAGATGAACAACCATAGTCATTCACCAAGGACGCGAGATGAAGAATCTTCCAGTAATTCACCAAGCTTACGAAAGACTAGCAAGACGCGCATGCCCAGAACAAATCCTATGCTCTCTTATTCGACAAATCAGAATCAACTAAATTATAAACACTTTGGCCAACGAGGGGAATCATTGTACGAAAGCAAACCTCATCACATCTCCACTGATTCTGGTTATCCAATGAGCCGGTCAGATTCCAATGTGGAAGAGGTTAACAAAGAAATGTATAGACTACAAATATCAAGAAGTCAAAAGGCTTTATATAACATGGAAAATTCTAAGAATTCCCCTGAAAAGTATACTATTACAGAAAACGTGATACCTGAGACTAATTATCCATTAGACAGAACATACTCTGGAGCAAAGATGTCAAGTAGTCGATTAAATGAGGATTTGGAAAGGCACCAGGATTATTACGGGGCACGAGACAGAAGAGATTCACCTCAAGGAGTGTTCAGCCGAGAGTCGCAATCAAGTGAGACCAGCGAACGAGCACCGGCGCGCAGTGAACGCGAAGCGACGGGCCGAGACAAAATGCAACGGAGGCTCAGTTTAGATTCTGCTAGGGATCTCACCGACAGTTCTGATGATATGGAAGACACTCTATACAGTACAACAGGAAGAAGACGTGCTTCTAAGCATCAAAGAACTATTGAACAGGTATGTGGAATGTTCATTTTAGATTGTTTGTTTTTTGACATTTCTACTTTCCTTCTTATAAGTAGTTTAAACAACAGTACTGTACTTATTTTTTGGAAAATTCTGTGAACTAAAATGTTGTACACATATTTACTGGGCACTGCAGTATTCCATCTTTTAAACTGAATCTCCGTGTGTAATAATGGCTACTTTGTTCTAGAGACACGATTAAATGCATAAAGTACTAGATAAGCCCACAGCGGGAAAGTATTCAAATTATGTCAAAATAATCTTAGGGTTACTACAATTGTGAAACAATTTTTTTTAGTAAAGTTATGTTTACGGTCACCTGAGGGGTAATAAATAATATATACCTAATTTACATTACTTTTCTTTACTTCATAGTATGAACGCGAAATTGAGAGGTTAAAGCACTCCGTAGAATTCCTACGTGGGAGGCTGCCGACTGAACCTGGTCAAGACCCCAGTGACGCCAAAATGAAGGCTATTATATCCAGGTTGGTTCCGATGTTATCAGTAACGATGAATACGTATCTAAATTATCAACATATGTATACATAGTTACTTAATCTAATTATTTATTATTTGTTTTAACTTGTTTGTATCGTCTAATGTATAATATGTATGTATTTACGAAAAAAAAAATAAAATATTATTTGTATCAGTTGTCTAGGACCCATACAGAATTATACCACGCTGTGTGATAGATTATTATTATTATTATTATTATTATTATTATTTATTATTATTTATTATTTGTTTTAACTTTGACAATTACCACTATAATGAATTTGATAATTATTTACAATAATTTTAACATTATTTATAAACTTTAGGTTAATCTGTGTGGAAGAAGAACTAAGGCGGGAACAACGCAAAATGGCAGCCGCTCTTTCTCACAAACAGCGCGTGATAGAAGCACAGGAGCATCGTATCGCAGCGCTGGATGAAGCCAACACCAGGCTGTTATCAGCATTAGTTCACTTGCAACAGCGTGCCCCTCACCCCGCGCCCGCACACCCTTCACACCCCTCACACAACAGCACACATCCTTCACCGCATTCACACCAAGAACTACAGATTTAACAGTGTCTAGATATTGATATATTTTAACAAACTGAGAGACTTAAAACTGACCTCTGAAACTGTTGACATAGTTTTCTTTCGCAGTCTTTAATGAAGCTAGAAGTAATGGTGTATATACCATATTTCACAGTGCTAAGGTTAGAATTTGAGCTGCATTATTTATCATGAATACTTATAATGGGAACACTTAGCATAGCATTATGTTATGCTGTGACAGTTTTTTTTTGTTGTGCATTTCAAGTAATTTTCAAGTAGATATTAAAAGAGTGCAATTCTATTACAATTATACTATTCGGCGCACAACTATGTACAGCATCTACTATCAGTCTAATAATCCAATACTGTAGGTGAAATCTACTTACATTTCTAAATGTTTTTGTGTTTAACCAATGTATGTAATTTACTAATTTTGATGTTTCGAAGCACAATGTACCTAGCAATATAAGCACATAGGATTTTATCTACGACATTGCAATATCAATCTGTGTCACTTGTGAAGTGGATGTTCATTATAATTTTTCTACTAAGTACTATCTAGTAACTTTAATAACAGTTCTCATCAGTAATATGAATCACAAATTGTTTTGCCATCTATTATTAACTTTGTTAAATTGTTTCATTAGTTTTTAAATGTAATGCTTTAAATGACATTAATGTTCGTCTTGTATCAGTATTCTTAATTTTGTTAAATGTTCACGTGCTATCGCGTCAACATCTTGTCTACAAAAGTTTGTTTTGTTTTCTATAGCAATCATACCAAAGACGATTGAATATCCCTTAGCCTAGAGTTGTAGTGGTCTAACCTTGATGTCACTACAGCTGTAGCTCTAGTGTTGTATTTTAAAATGTTATAGATTTTATATTACCTATAAGATTTGTATAATATTCTTAAGAAAATATGTTAAGTGAAGAATATTTTTAATACCTGCGGAGTATTATTGTAAGAAATTGAGATATTAAAATGAAGTTATTTACTACACTATCACTTTGAAAGTATCAAATTGATGACGTGAAAATAAAATTTCGAATGCAACGCATACATGCTGAGTTAATTCAGCGGATATTTAAATTGTAAATATACCCCGGTAGGTATATATTATCCTTATAACATTAAATTATATAATTACGTAATTTTGAGTTTTATTTAAAAATGCATATTATATATTAGAGTATGTTTGAAACCTAATGTATTTTTTCTCCATACCAAATGCTTAACCATAGTTATCGCATACTAGTAAACACCGTAAACACATCATAAAGGCAATAAACTAATAATGCACAAAGTATATAGGTAAGTATTATCAAGGGTTAAAGTTCCACTCTTAATAAATTAATAATAACATAAATTTACCTTCATATGTGAAAATGAGATAAGGGATTATGAAATATAGATTTCAGAAAGCGAAAGAGTTCAAAATATTGTTTATTTGCTATATGTATACACAATCATTACTCCTGTAAGTCGATACTGGCTGGAGGACAACAGTAGCGTCTTTTCGCTATTATTAACTTTCGTTCTACTGATTCTTTGGAACTGTATGGATGCATTATATACATGTCTTCTTTGCGCCGGACCAGATAAGAAAAGTATATTTCTCTAAACTTTTTATCAGGAAATGCAGCTTGGTACATTGTAGGCCATATTAAGTTGTTAACTTTTGCTTGAGATCTAAACAGTTGTAGTTTGTATTCATGTGTAAATTTCTGGAATTTTTCGTTTAAATCCTGTTTGTGTACCCAAGTTGTATGGCCCGCATAGGTCGGATCTTTCACTGGTCCCACATGACCGAATCCTTTAGCAGCTAATGTTTGGAATATTTGCCAATATATAGAACTCTTCCGTAACATCGTAGATTTTTCAGTGCTAGAATATGGACCATAAATACGACGACGCATCCATTCTTTTAATTCTGGAACTATATGAACATCTGGCAAACGTGCAGCTATATTAACCCGCCGCATTAACCTCAGAGCACATTTTAAATAGTCTTCAGGCTTAGGGTTCTGTCCCAGGCAAGTCGTCGACGACTTTCTTGTTCTTTTCTTCTTCTTCTCTTTTTTATCTTTAACAGTACCGTCATCAACATGAAGCACACTATCTGTATCCCAAACTCTCTTGAGTTCTTTCTCAATATGAATACGTTTTTCGTCGATGTTGAAAATTGTTTGATATTTAAACTCAAATGGTGCATTTCGGGTCGGTTTCTGAAAGAACGGCGGATCCTCCGGAAGGAAAGTACCTTCATTGCCGTAGTCATAACGGTGACCGCAGTAGCACTTCGTCATTCTTATATATTGGAACACCGTATCCTGCCATTTCTTTATACAGTCACAAGGGCCGGGTTTCGGTGGTGGCGGCTGTGCAGCGAAACCACAATGTATATTTATATAATTTCCATTGAAGTATGTATAACCTCCATGAATAAGATTACCAACCGGTGGCAATATCGACACGGCACTAACTACGTATACTGTCTTACCATGGATATTGTACACACCATTAATAACATATTGAGAATTCCACATCCCCGTGCTCGGTGCCACAGGTTTCCGACGTCGATTATTTTTTTTTCTGTTTTCCATATTTATACCATATGTCTTCTTCACCTGGTTAAGACATAATTTTGAACCCCGTATTCGGCGATTACTAATATGCCTAAATGTTTTCATAGATAAAGCAGTTACTGAAGAATAAGGCTCTATAGGCATAACACCAGCTATCTTATCACAATATGACCGCGCAAGCCGTTTTTTAGGTGGCGGAGGTGGCGGAAGTGCAGGAGTAGATCTAGGTATCATCGGTTCTTCCTCATACGGGTCATTTAGATCGTTTAAATTAGGTAGCGGCGGTGGCCTAGGTCGCTCATAGACTGGGGGTTTATAAAGTACAGCAACCATTTTCTGTAAATAGGGGGATTTCAGCGGTGGTTCATTCTTAGGTTTTGGTTTTGGCTTCGGTTTCTTTTTCGGTATATCAGGCCGAAATCTTTCACGTAACAAAGCTAACAATTTGTCCAGACCTAGGTATAAAATACCGGACAACATCAGCCTGGCGTTTAAACAGTATGAAGACTTTTTCCCATCGATGGTATGGCCATAGGTCATCAAGAATAATTGTGCCAGCATCTCTTTGGGATCCTCACGCCCTAAATAGACACAGTTCATTAGGTCTGTCATATTTGGACGAGGATATAGCCCTAACTCTCGCATAACTCGTGCAGTTCGTACGGGCCGCCCTTCTAGTAAATCTTGATATATAGATAATTGCAGCGAGTCTAACGCAACTGTTTGTGGAACGCTAAAGGCATGATACCACTTTGGTCCAATAGAGTCGCTTATCATTTTTAAAATATGTTTTTGTTTTTTCTTGCGGTGTTCTTTGAGTTCCTCCATGAATACTTGCCGTTCGCGCATATTTCTGGCATAAATGATTTGCATGCGGCGGTGTTTGTGCTGTTCATGGCTAGTTTCTGGGCCTTGCCTTAATTGCACCATGATTTTATAATAAATTAAAAAAAATAATTTTGCATGAATATAAGGAAATAATTAAAGGAAAATCTTTATTCGGGGCCTTAATTTAACGTGAATATCGGACTGAAACTACAATTTAGAAAAAGTACAGCAATATCTTAAATAACAATTCTTTGCTCCGAGTGCATATTGCACAATAAAAATGACAGTATTTTATTTTTTCATAGGCATGTTGGCTGTTATTATATTTTATAATAATATTTAACATTAGGTTAGCTATGATTTGAAAACTTGTCTTTGATTCGTTGACTTTTTATTAACACAAGACACTCGGTTATTCTCTGAATTTGTAGAAGAATTCATTCTAGTATTCTAGTTCTTCAACATAGTAATGTTGCATATACATGCAATAGTCAATATTAGGTGAAAAAAACAAGTCATGTCTCATGATACAATTTCAAAACAGCCGTATTCAAGCTTTAATTAGTTATTACTGTTATTTGTATAATCGTATTACTTTTTTTTTTATTTTACTATGGAATTCTAAAAATATAAAATCTAAAATAAGAATAAATATGTTGACAAGAAAATAAACTGCGAATAACCGCGAAAGCTAAAACTCCAGCCAACGTGAATATACTGTGCTGCCATCTATCAACGAATAGCAGAACATTGATTCAGGTTAGCTACATCAGGATATCTTGAAAGCCACTATTTAAATTTCAATTATATATAGTATTGTATTTTCATATTGTGTTATGTTATTTGTAATAGTCATTTTCATTATTTCTGACATTTTAGAGTGTAGTTAGGTGCCTACATAAGCCAGGGCGAATTCTAGCGTAAGGGATAATCCTCGATGTCAACCTTCGGGCAGCTGTCCTTGTAAACTGTTCGGTTGAAGGGTGGATATGGCAGTGAAATTACAGGATATGGAGGCATGACGTCTTCTTCATCCGGAATGGCAAAACACATGAGATATCTATGACGCTGCTCATGTGTATATACTTGTAAGCTACGTTTGCCGCTTGCCAGTACGTATGTTGTCAGCAGAATTGCATTCTCGTTACTTAAAAACTACAACTAACAAGAAACTTTGCTCTCTCTTCGCCTAAGACTGTACCTACCTACCTATATAAAAGTAATAATACAGATTACTGTCCAAATTTAATATATGTATGTACGCATAAGCTGTCATAACCTGAATAGACAATTCTTGTAAAGCAAGAAAATCTTTTCCCGTCAAACCGTACACTACACATGATACTCAACCCCAAATATAACAAAGGTCATTCCAAAAATCCACACCTACATCACTTATATTAACAAATAACGGTGAACTACATAGAGCGAAGCTATTTTGTTAGTCATACACCGGACAGCAGGGGCCGAGGGACGCAGGTCGCGATCAGCTGTCTGAAACTCGGCCGGTCGTAGACCCGGGGTGAACGCCCCCTTCATCCATCACCTGAATATTCCCTCATTCATAGCACCCTGATGAATACATCTCAATATTTATGCTATACATTTCCCGATGTCATCAATCAAGTCTAACTTTACCGTGGAGACCACAAAATATAAAATCGATCGACTCGGCACCAGAGAACGCACAAACACCTAGTGAATGAAGTTTGGTTTGACGTAACTGTATCGTACGGATTTTGATATTCAACACGGAAATTTGTTAGTTCAAATCCATAATACATTGACTACATTACAAGATAAATTAGTTGCACACACGTGAATCCATTCTTAGAGATGTAGATGCTGTATAACTTCTTATAGTTTTTTGGTTGCCTAAGGTCACCAAATACAAATTTGACTACATTCTTTTACTATTTCATTACGTTGATAATAAAATAGTATGTAGTCTATTGTTATATTGTAGGCTAAGAATAGCTTTCGTTTTATAGTTTCTTTACTAATTATTTATTCTAATAATTACCTAACCAAATTTGATAAAACTGAAAATAAGAAGTAGCATGGAAATGCAATAAACAACTAAATGACCCCATGTACCGGATGCAATAGAATCATTACAATTATAATATTACAATGTATTGAATGCAATTACACATTGTTTCCTTTGGCATGGTGTAAATCGCTTTGTATTGTCTTCCGTAATTAGACAGGACGTGTAAAAAATTTCGTAACATAGACTAATCTGTTAACAAAATAAATACTGGGTAGAGAAACTTATAATATGTTTTATGTGTAAATCGGTGCCTAAATCAAACATTTGTCAACTTTTATCATTACACAGTATAAAACATAGTAGCTGTCTGTCCGTCCTTAAATCTTTAAAACTACGCAACGGTTTTTTTGGTGGATAGAGCGATTCAAGAGGAAGATTTATATATATAATACATGTACACCCATGCGAAGCCGGGGCGAGTAGCTAGTTTCATATAATTTGTTTCATAAATTGTTGTATAGTATTGTTACCTTAGACTGCTCAAAACAGTGTTTTATAAAATTCAGGTTGAAACTCACTTTTTTATAGCACTTTTATAAAAAAGTATTAAGTACCTTTATATATTTTATAACTTATTCATAATTTCAACCAAGAACTCTAATTATTGCAAACTCTTTGCATATACATTTATATATTTATTGTTGTATCAATTTTTAATGTCTTTTCCTATACAGTTTTAGAATTTTCATAAATTTTATTGTGATATTTGCACTGTTACTGCTCGTACCTACATTACAAGTATTTAGGTACTATTTTTTATCTCTTGTTTCATTCATCTCATACGTACTCTCTCTCACTCATTACATCACTACACTTATAACAATATATATATGTTAATATCGTATTATTAAACAGCGGCGATTAATACAATTCTACGTCAATGGAATTTTTAAATCATTACTATAATATGATGAGATATTTTTAATTCCATTCAATGTGTGCACGGTTGATTCATCGGGTTCATAGTCGAATAACTACAGCGAAGCGATCTAAATGAATTCTTTCATGTTATCATTGATTCAATTAAGCGTGGTGATATTGACATTATGGTTTCTATCGTCGTAGCCATGTGAATACAGTTTGGTTTTATCGCGCGATGTAATTATTGATGAGGCTAATTTGTTGATAATTTAGTTTTCCCTTGAGGTTCGTCAATTAAGTAATTGTTATTGAATAAAACTGGATTTTTTGTTCATATTCTGATAATAAATCTTATCCACTGCATTTCTTGAAATATATATACGGTTTTACTCGACATCTTCACCAATTGAAACAATACAAAACATAATAGTAAATACGTTGGATTTATATTTATTGCCCTCGGTATTTTTATACATTTAAATGCATATACATATATATGTATTTAAAAAGTAGTTAAATATGTCTATCAGTTGTGTAAATGTGTAATACCTAAATGCTACAAGTGCAGCATAATTTAATACTAATTGGCACTGTATATGAATGTAATGTGCAGATATTTAGAGTTATTTCTTTATTTATTATGTAGAATTGTGTATTGTATGTTACGGTTTAGAATAACACCTTTTTTATTTTTAGATTAATAAAACCAATAATATTACGAGTTAGTTTTTCTTATATCTCAAATTTATCTTTTACTATTATAACATAATTAAAAGAATACTTTTAAGATTGCATGGGATAAGTCTGTTAACCATGCCCGTGGCTTTACTAATAAAAACATTCTCACGCAAGCGCAGTATTCGAGGGGGAATTAACTGCTCTTATTTATATAGCACATTTCCAGTTAGTTCGTGTTTACGATTTCCTCTATACGAACTTTCTTACATCCATTGAACGTGAGATGCGTATCAGTGTACCTAGGTAATACCTATGAACGTTCACTTTCCTCGTGCAGGAAGTATCCACTGCCACTTTCACTCCATTCAAGATCACAGCTCGCTCGTTCCGCCTCGAGCTGCGCCTGCGCCGCGAACAATAACCGCATGCTATTGTCTGTATTTGCTATAATTTTTATTGTGTTGAGATGAGTTCGCGCAATTGTAATAAATACAAAATCATGACTAACTTATTATTGTGTTCCCATATTATTCTTTTATGAATGTATGGAATTTGTAGGTACTCACTACTTCCCTACAATTTTTTTTAAACTTCGTTAAAAATTGGTTGACCAATATATAAGAGGTTGTAAAGCTAGGTCATTTGTTTTTTTTACCTAAAAATTATTGATATTGCTCGCTTTCATAAAGAAATTATAATAAATGACAGTTCACTCTACCGTCAGATTCGTGAACGGGTGCTACTTTTAGGGGCCAGTTGACTCTTGACGCTTCTATTTTTTTATTACGAATTATATGAGTGTCGGATTATTATTTTAAAATAGTAACAGCGGGACATTTTATCCATTAATCTCAGTTTAATCTGCTGTTCGATTATCGCTATATAATCACAAAAATCTATCCAAATGTCCTTGATATTAACTATATTTGAATACAGATTATTACTGTAATAAATACAAGTAGATACTAGATGGCTGTCTAATAATCCCTTCAAGCATTATATTAATATTTTCTAAGGCCACATGTAACCTTCAGCAGCTTTATAAGAACGATTTCAGGCGCCATTTCTCCAGTGGGGTCGTTGACCGTGCTCTTATCTAGTGCGTATGTGTGTGTGCACGTGCCTCGTACAATGCGTATGAGCACGCTGCGCCTGCGTCGTTGGCATTGTAAGATGCACATTATGCAACCATAATTATTGCCGGATAAGTATGATAATATAGATCATATCACATCATTCGTATCGTAATGTTTCCTTATGTTCATTACGTTATTTCAACAGGATTCATTGTTTCAAAAACTTAAATCAACTGTTTATGAAAATAATTGTTTTTTATTTTATTATTAAAGACTTCCTCAAAGTAGAGCTAAAGATAATGCCACGTTTCGATGGTTGCGATTTTGAATTTGCACCTAGTAAAGAATGTTCAGGAATCGGAGTACGTGAGATCGGAGTTCGTACTCGTGAGAAATCTTCAAGAACACGGCTTTTTAATGTCGTCTATTATTAGTACTGGTGCTCAAAAAGAAAGAAACATAAGTATATTTGTCTAAAATCGGACCATCACGTTTTGTTTTCTTATAAAACTTTGCATATGTAGTATAAAACAAAATATGCTGTCTATTCGCTTATAACTTTTAAATTACGCAACTCATTGTTATGCAGTATTCAGCAATAGATGG